CCGGCAGCTGAAGATTCTGGCTGCTTTGGAAGGCTGCAACAACCCCCACAACACTTGACAGCCATTCGTGCAAAAAACCAACTCCCATTCTCGCCCGTCTATAATACTACAGGGCGAGCAACTTTTCTGGGACTAAGTCCCAAGATTGGGACTTTTACTGAAAATCACAATTTGTTCTAAAAAATCGAACATTCGATTTTTGACTTTTGGAAGGAATTTCCTTCCATTTAGCCGTTACAGATCTCAATAATTAGAGTCTGTCACTATTTTTAATGCTAATTAAAAATTTAAAATTTTCTGATCATTTTTTGAACTTTTCACAGAGTCTTTTTTTTTTACAAAAAGTCTGAAATTTGGAATTGAACACCATCAACACTTTTTAAATTTGACACTAAATTTTTGTGTTCATAAACTTATGAATTCGTGTCAACTCTAATTCACAACCGCAACTAAATTGTCTTTAAGACATATAAATCAACACATCTACTAGTCTGTGGTAGTTCGTGCAATTGATCTTCATTTTCATGCACCTTACTCGATGCTAATGATATCAAAAACTGGTTAGTACTTTTGTTTACGAATAGCTTACTCGAAATAACACTAGAAATTGGTTAAATAACTTATTTCTAGACTTACAATCTGGGATCCTTCCTTTCATAAAGTTACCTTTCCTAAATACTACTTGATGGACAAAACTATGGTTTTCGTTACTGAATTTCCTTAACCATTTTTGAATTGGACTGCTTACAAGTACAAATATACAGGCCGTGTTAAGCTTATAAGCTAACACAAACAAAATGTGATGCATACTCACAGGGTAAGAACAATTACCCCTAAAGTCTAAGACTCACTTTCAACTCTCATTCTTGAAAATGAACGAGAGAAAATCTTTCATTAAAAACCATCCTTTCTGAAGTTATTGACGAAGAAATTCTCGATGCTGAATCTTACAGATCCAAAACAATGATATTTATGTCTTTTGACTTTTCTTAAAAATCCCTTTTAAATTTGAATTTTTCAAACTTCAACAACCCAAAAAAAAAAATCTATCGTCGTTTCACTAACCAAAACTCCCCAAATCATGTCTAAGCATGAAACCAAACCATAAGTGGGAAGGGACCTGGTTTGTTGGTGGGGTTGGGGGTCGGGTAGTGTGGGGGATTGGGTTGGGAAATGTGAAAAATTCTGACGGCAGTAGGCGACGGAGGGGCCGGCAGCTGAAGATTCTGGCTGCTTTGGAAGGCTGCAACAACCCCCACAACACTTGACAGCCATTCGTGCAAAAAACCAACTCCCATTCTCGCCCGTCTATAATACTACAGGGCGAGCAATCTTTCTGGGACTAAGTCCCAAGATTGGGACTTGATGTAGGATTTATCATCAAGTCTGAACTTAAATTTCTGACAATTTTAATTATTTAATTAAAATTTAATTGCAAAAATGCATTACCGCAAACGAATTGTTGAACTTCATTAAGCAGAACAAGCTGGCTATGACATCTTGTAAACAGACCCTTTTTAGGGTTGTCTGTACGTAAAACATTAAATTTCTGTACCTTATGCTGATCTTGTTGAATATGGCGTTGCTTTTCCTTTACTTGTTCCTGGCTATTGGTCTAAGTCTGATCTTGACTAATTTGATGGTCTTAACTTATCAACATTCATTGCTGATGAAAAGCTTCTTTCTAATTTTTAAAGCTTTATTGTTTAAAATGTGTCTGTTGTTCCAAAATTTGGTCTAAATAAATGTCCAGGTATCTTACGTTCTTCTTATTGGAGAACTAAATTACCAACTGTTAATGGAACATTACTTACTCATAATACTCTTCCTTCTTTTTTGGCTTCTGATAATTCATCTTCCGTGTATGATCAATTGTTTACTGCTGGAAATAAACCAGCAACAAGACGTGTTTCTACTACACCAAATAATTTGAATTGTCTCACTGTTGACTTTGTTTCTTATACTGGACTTTCTATTCCTTTTAGTGAAATATTAACAAAAGGTTGTTTGTATTTCCAATTAGTCAATCCACCTGATTCTTATAACTATTAACCTGACCCCCTTCATCCTGACAAATGGTAAGGCTTAGGGAAACAAAATATAGCTTTTGATGTTACTTATAAAATTCTGCATCGAAAACCTCTGAATCTCAATGTGTAAGACTCTTTAGCTGTACGTAAATGGCAATGATTTTAATTTAGCTTTATCTTTCGTTTTTATTTTGGAATTTCATAGAATTTGAATATTTCTTTAAACTATCCTTAAAGGTTCAACAATCAAAAAAAAAAAAACTATCGTCGTTTCACTAACTAAAACTCCCCAAATCATGTCTAAGCATGAAACCAAACCATAAGTGGGAAGGGACCTGGTTTGTTGGTGGGGTTGGGG